TTCATTCAAAAAGTCTGCGAAAATCAGCGCTAAACCAGGAAATGCAGTCTTCATTCGGCATGTACTTAAGCAGGATTTTTCAATCGATGGTAAGTGTGGTCAGTAGTTGTACGAGTGCACCCTCACTCGTCAGGTGCCCGGTATGGCAAGGTGCCCGGTATGGCAAGGAATTGGATTCTATTTTCAAATTGAAGTTCTGGTCATCCAACTTCAATGCGATATCGTGTCGCGTAGGGGTACAAATCACTCGAGCTGATCTGAGTAGATAATGACAACTGTATTTATCATTCTCCAGGCTTCCTTCGAGCTTAACAAACAGGAAGAAAAAGTGGAGACGACATTCAAAATAGTTGATGGGGCTTCGTATCACTCATTCGAATTGAAGCAGTTAATTTTACTACTTCAAGACGGCTCTACCCCGGCTGTAATCAACGGATTTAATATCCGTCGACAACTCACCCATTTGAACCAGTTGTCGGATCATCAATCTGCTTCCCAAGCACAGCAAAAAATTCTAGCATCTAATGAAGCCTTAATTACCCATTTCTGAGTAACGATTTCACTGTGTCAAGTCAGGTTGCCCTCTGAAAATCCACGGTTTTGAAGTCGGATCAAACCATAACCCGAAGCGGGGAAAAAAAAGGTGAGTGACTGAGTCCCGAGGAACAGCCGGTGGCCAGCGAGGAACAACTGGCGATTTTTCGCAGGGTTTTTGCACCAGTTTCGAAAGTTTCCTAGCCACGAAGGAATGGATGCGCCGACAGTAAGTGAGGGCAGGATAAATTGACGACAAACGCTGATCTTCCCACCAGACGTCGTACAATGACACGAGTCGAGAAGGTCGACCGATACCTTCATTTCCGCGCCAGGAGCCACGATTCCCACAGCTAATTGATCGAATGTCGCCTCTAGTCTAGACTGAGGTTCGTTAGGCGCGACGAAGTCAGTGTCGATTTTCTTTGGAGGGGGCAAATTCATCACACATATCAACTTTGTATCATCATTCTACGGGGCTTCTCATAACCCGCGACTTTATTAGGTGAAACTTCCAGTGTAATTAAGACCGAGACTCTTTTTGATTCATATTAACGCGAAGGCCACACGTGATTCACATAGTCCCAATTCTGTGCCTACCGTTTATCGGAAAAATTCACACCCATTACTATTCTTCCCCTCCAATTAAGCGTTCCGTCTCGGTAGAAAAATAATTTAAATAATATCGTGCTCCTCGTACTCGAATGCACAGGGAACAACCGATGCCACTGTTTCCCGTATTTACGCGATCATAGGCAGGACTTTTTCATACAATTAGCGGAGATAATTGGGTGCTACCTTTACAGTGTTTCATATACAGTACGTGTACGTGTATTCGAGGGCATGCTGCTGTTACTGCACATTCAGATCAAATCGCTGTGCAATAAGGCAAAACTCCAGTCAGTGGATTTTGAAGCATCTAAATTATTCCCTGGTGTTTCTTAAGAATCTTTCCGCATTTTATCAATTTTTGCCTAAGCTCGCGTAATCTTTACAAGATTTGAAGTCTTACGACATTTCGTAAACAATTTTAATTTGATTGCGAGTATTTCCCCCATTTCTGGTAAACCGTTTCCAATTTTGCTGAGTCCAGCGCAGATGTTTTCTGTCAAATGACCGAACGAATTCTGGATGTGGCCCAAAGTCATAGGCACTTTCAGTTTGAAATATTTTTTACATGAAAAGACGCGTTTGAGGAAAATTCCACATTTTCAAAAAATAGCAGGAATTCTCTGCATTTATAGTACTAAACTACATTTTCAAGAAATGGCAATATTCACGCTCATCCTCTGTACTACCAAGTATCACGTATGTTGCGTCAAAAATCCCGCTCGATTCTGATTACACAATTTAATGCCCCACGTGTTGTGTTCAGGAGCGTTTATAGACGTCTAAATGATGGCGCCTTTGTGCATCAAAGTATTTTCTAAGCTGCAAAGGTGTTGAACAAACGACATGCAAGATTATACAGTACTGTATTAGATTTTCGAACAATGTTGCGTGCCTTCTGCCGAGTGCTTCATACAAGCTTAAAAGCTCTACCCTGAAAGATCGAAACGCTGTCAGGTAATACGCATCAAGGGGAGATATATTTCCGGGGCATCCGTGAACATAGATGGGTTGCGGTGACTGACATGTACAGAAATCCTGCGGATATGACGGATTTCTTCAGTGGAGTCGGTCAGTCGGATCGCCGCTGACGACAACCGGTCGTGACACATAGCAGGGCGGAAAATTATAGATTAAATCTTGGAAGCAAATATGACCCGGAACGATAAATATCACTCGGCGCGTTCCGTGCGCCGCGACGTCGTCATCGTCAACGTCACACGCATTCAAATAAAGAGCCAACAGTGTCCTTTGCCGTCGGGCACGGCACGGGCCGAAATCCGTGAAGGGGGTGGAAACGGGTTCCGCACGACCCTGCATAATGAAAGCCGGGAATAAAACAGCGAACGATAGCGATCCGCGGAGATAAGGCGTCGGGTGCGAGCCGAGGAAGCGGAGATACCGACCGCAACGTCATTAATGAAACCCCGCCGTCGCGGAAATCACTGGGCCCTCATTATCCCCACGACGGCAGCTCGTCATCGACGGTTTTATTACGGGGCCGGGCAAATTTTGTTCGTTCGCGTCCCACGGTGTCCCCGGCGGGCGAAATCCGTGTGTTCCAGGGTCGCAGATAAGTCCCGCAATCTCCGGGCCGCTGGTGGCAGAAGATCTCGCCGATGTCTGATAGGGCGCCTGACGCCGCGCCGGCTCCTCGGAACACGACAGTCGGCTCCTCCGCTTTTTTTTTTCCCCCGCCCAGGTACCCGACGCCCAGCCGCCACTGCCACCCAGATTCCCGTTCCCAAATCCGAGGGAGAAGTTTTCTGCGCTTTCATGCCCCAATTTGCCTCCTGTGTCCCTCTCATTACCCGGGTACCTCTCGAGACGGTTCCAAGCGAACCCTTTGGTTTAAAACGGAACGCTTCGTTATCAGCATGTCCCTGCAGGACCCTGCATCTCATTCCTCTACTTACGAAAACTTATTAAACTTCGCTTGATATGGAGAGTGACAGGAGGAAAGCATCCACTGCGAACAGCACCCCGTCAAATTTTTTTCAATTTAGTGCATACGGTATTTTAAAACTTGTACAGTATTTCCAGGCTCCTACTAAAGTTCTCGGCCACTCAGTATGTAAGTACTGTACTCAAATGAGGGATTTTTTTTCGTACAGACGAAGTCGCATGGAAACGCATTTAAATAATTTATTTTCTAATAGTAACTACAGTATTCAGTACTTCTGAATAATCAACGAACGAATTAAAAAAAGTCAACATCAGCATGAATATTTCTCCGGTTGCAAGAAAATGCGGCCACGACTCTTAGTCTCATACTACGCGCGTTATAATTTCAGCTGAATTAAAAAAGGGGGTTTTAAAATAATGAATTATAATGTGTATACAAAAATGTACATTGTAAGGAAAAGTTTTGATTTTTGTTGGGTGGTTTCTGTGGTGGATGTCTTTTCCCTCGAGATGTTTTGTAAGTCTGCTTTTCACGTGGAAGCTTTTCTTTTGAGAGGTATCAAGGCATAATTGCGCATCTGTCATTTTTTTGTCATCTACCCTCGTGAAACGCGACAAGATTGCACGCGGAAATGAGGGTGATACAAGAAGAAAAAGAGTGCGTAAACTGGTGATCGGAGAGCTGGTTGAACCCAAAAGTCGAATCCGTGCCCCAATTATCTCACAGTGCCACCCAGGCTTCCCGATGCTTCGAAAAACCCTTTGTCATGACGACATGCTGCCGCAACAACGAGCCTTTATCTAAAGCGAACATCGCCGCAGATTAGATAAACTTCGGTTACCGTTGCGACAGACTGTCTACGAGTTGCCTCTACCTCGTGGAATAACTGGTGCCTCGAACCTCACTATTTACCTTTTCGTAGAGACAATTCCAGTGGACGCACGCGAAGTAGAAAAATTGACATTCAGTCGTCAAATTTTTCATTGCTCGGAACACACGGAAATGAGGCCGGGCAAAGCGATGAATGTTTGTCAAGAAAACTTCCAATCAGATTCTCCATAATAAAAAAAAGATACAGTGTGTTGCGTGTGGTCACCTTCCCGGCAGGGAAACGAATGAATTCCGCTAAGTAATTAGAACCCGTTTGCCCCTGGATAGACACAGTTTGGCAAGCGTGTCCCATGAAGTTTCGATGGCATTCGAAAGTTTGTTGCATAAGCCATTTACGACTCTCCAGAAAAATAGTGCAACGTAAAAAAAATAGAGAAGCGAGCAGGCCGTAAATCAGCCGTACACCCACCCAAGAGGTTCCTCGACAGTATTTCAGGGAGTATAATCAAAGTTGCCATTTTATCGTGGATCTGAGATTATGTTAGATATTCTCAGATAGCCGTTCGTAATTAAAACTTTCGGCATTCGCGGCGGTTGAAGCGGCGAAGATCGTCCGACGATTGCCGGTCCTGCGGTGCACTTCAATTTCTCGCGTGATGGGATTGAAATCGCACTTCAGAAATTCAACTCTCGCAAATTCCGTAAGATGCATGGGAACACCACAAAAAAGGGCTTCACGGAGGCTTTCTTGGGATCTTTTATAGGAATTACTCATGCCCCGATAACCAGCTTTACCGGCAAAATTGTCCTACCGCATATACTGTATAACTTTCCTCGGGTACGTCTCTTTCTCGCGTCTCTACAATAATTTAAAATTCTAAATTTAAAACCTTTCCCATCGCCTCTCCAGAACAAAGAATTCCGGGAATTCTTCGACGAGTTCAGAATAATTTACGCAATAAGTGAATATACTTATGTGTTGGTCGCATTTTTACTGTCATTATTTGAGACGCTGTTTGTCACATTTTTACTGTAAACATTTGAGACTATAAAAGATAGACCACACTGACCAGAAAATAAAGAATGGTCCCCTGATCTTCGACGAACATAAATTCATCCATCAAGAGAATATCAGGCCAACGAAAGCATGTCGTAGGAAAACATAGCCTGAAGAATTTTCCGAAGCAATTCTATTGCACTTCTTTCCAATCATTCCATTCTTCAAGAAATTGTTCATCATCTACATTTGACAATCTGCATGTCATTTATAATTCAGGCAGGTGAACTCTAATGAACTCTATATTTCGTGTGGCCCGTTAAAATTATCATTGGTCTTATTAACCCCATAAAAATTTTAAATTTTTCTGCGGCCTGTGCGTTTTATTTCCTGAAGTCAGGTTTGTCAATAATCGCATGTGGACAGTAAGAGCGTTAATTCCGCATACAAATTTCTATGACGTGAAAAAGCGTATATTAGAGTGACGAACATGGAGACGCGCAAACAAAAGTGAAAGAAATAGAACATGTCTTCAGTGGTGGATTGATGAGTAGTCTACCAGAAAGATCAAAAATGTGAGTCACCCTGCATTCAATCAAATACAGGTCTCCTGCTTTGTTTCAACTTGCTTAGAAATTCAAACATTGGGGCAAGAAACCAGAAGTCCGTTTCGTCATTCTCTCAGACATTCTCATCCACATTGAAATTGGAGTAAACCGATGGTTCACTCAATGGGCTTTACCGCAAGCAACTTCATCTTTTCGGAGGAACATTTCTTTTCATGGAGTGTATAATTTAAACTTTAAAGAATCGTTCCGAAGGAAAAGTCGACGGCCTCAACATTTTGTCACACGATATACCGATTACATCGATTATACGAGGTACCAGTGTCCTTGATGCAATACTTTCAATCATATGTTTTCTTGCGCGATTTTTCACGAGACCCTGGGGTGGTGTAATTTGTTGAGGGATCCCGATGTCACGGGCCATTATCCATGTCACTTGGCACGAGTGGGGAGATGCAACAAGATATGGGGACAAACCTGGTTGACGAGTTGCTGGAACGGCGGGTTTTGGGGGTCGATGCGGTCCAGGTCCCCTTGCATGGCGAAGTCGGCCAGGGCTTTCCACGGTGGCTGGTAAGAAGTTACCTCCACAGGCTGGATCCCACTCAGTGGACTCTCGTGTCGCACGGGACTCGACGCAACCATGGGCACTCCTTGCATGCCGCCGAGACCCAGCCGGGTTCTCCCATCCTGCACGAAAAGCGAGTTCGAATTAACACACAAAGGGAAATCACGCGTCGACGAAAAACAGTCGATTCGGAGGGTTTACTCCTATTATTCGACGACGGACATTGTCCTTCCGGAGTTTCTATTTGTACACGCGATATGGTTTCCCTTCGTCGCAATACTAACAACAACGCCTACCAAAAATGTTTTTTTTATCACGGACGTGTCAAAACTTCTCATGAAAAGCAAAATCCAAAAACTTCCGTGGTTCCCAGAAAATAATGCAGGCCACATTTTTTCGATGTGCCCTCAAAATAAACCAGCGGATTCATGTAGTATTGGAGTGCGGGTTAATATTTCAGAAGTTTTTCTTGCGTGGAATCTTCAATGCAGATCGCTGATAAGAAACCTAAGCAACTGAAACGATGATTCAACAAGTAACCTTGAACAGAATGAAGAAGATCCATATTCTCTTAAGAAGCATATTCAAGGGGAAGATTTGGGTTTATTTTTGGTTCGGGGATACATTCAGCACGGCTTCAGTGCACGTGCAGTGCTTCGGGTTCTTAGATGGCAATTAAACATTACTGAAGTTCTTATACCTGCGGGAAAAAATAATTTTTAACATTTTGTATTTCATCTCGTTTTTCCAAGAATTACCTTACGCATATTTGAAAAAATTCTGGATTTTCCAAGTGGCATTACTACCGAAAAGATTGAATCAGCACAACTAGAAGTGGTCCCAAAACTTCTCGGTCGTTTAAGAATGATCTGAGGAACAGCTTTTGTGAATAATTTTATGCCACTAACTCGTACCCGAAAGCTGTGCAAGGATGGCAGGGATCCGTGCGGGGCATTATTTTAAAGATTTGCCGCCTAGCTTCAATGATTTCGTATGACGAATGCGTTTGGTAGCTAACGTCGATGCAGACAATTCTACAGAAGTGAGCCAGAGTGAGGGAATAATTGTAGTGGATGAAAAACGTGTTCACGGGAAAATGAGAGAGTCAAAGCGATAAAAAAGAATCAACCATGGGGAGTGGGTTTACAAGGGCGGCGACGGGAGAACACGCTCGCGGCCGAAACAACGCTGCCAACTGCCGCCACAAGGGAAATTAGCGCCGCCGTATGTTCCCACGCACGGTGGCACTATACCGGCCGCCGCGGCGACATCATCACCTCAACTTCACCGAGGTCGGCGTCCGGTGGGCTCAGCGAACCCAAAAACCGAACCCCTTCGAGTATAGCAGTAACCGTAAAAAATCCGAAGACGTGAATGGCACGTATGTGTGTTATTGTCCTGTTTGATGCAAAAACATCGTTTCGCGTTCAAGGGTGCGTCTGTTTATCTCGCTTGGTAGAAAAAGGACAGAAATGCAACTCATGCTATCCTCATTTCATAAAAAAATAGCGACAGATGCGTCTAATCGAGAGGTGCCAAAAGAAGCATAGGACCGCACAGCAGAACTCCGGTTATCAGGGCCAATATCACCGACATCAGGATAATTAACTGCAATGTCCTGGATCATCAAATACAATACGATTTCAAGTGCATTGCAAATGATTCCCAACAATGTCACCACACATTTCAATGTTCATTGACAAAGATATAGATCGTAGGTATAGAAAGAAATGCGAGTTGAAATCATGAGCTAAACATGCCATTACACAGGAATCGAAAGAATGTTTAATTGAATTTTTGGTCAATTTCATCCTGATTATTTGGAATGTTGCATTGTAGCATTGCATCATGGAATTACAAATGCAGCATGTGAATTACTCGACTGCAATGCAATGTTCATCTATAGTCAAATAATGTACGTGTCACGCGCAAGATGAAGAGTTAAACTTATTAATTTTCTCCCAAAATTAGTGATGCCTCGAGAAAACTCATGTTTGCATGAGTTTTGCAAGCCACGCAAAATCGCAATAAATTAGACGAAATTAAGCCAACCTAAATGCACAGTAAAAGAAATCATATCCTTGAACTATTGTTCGACGACAAGGACTGCGTATCACTCCCAGGGTACCGATTACAATATTCCCAAAATATGAAACGGAAAAAACGAAGCATTAGTTCATGCATACACGCAATTCAAAATTTTTTCGGTCATTTTTCTGCTTTCAATATTTTGATGCATATATCCAAAGTTCAAAACATTTTGCGTCACTTAATTCTTAATTTCTTGGAGTGACAACGTCAGTCTGTTCTTACCAGACCATCACAAATCTCGAACCAATTTACCATTTCTTGAAAAGGCCACCAATTCACTTAAAAAAAAGCTTTTTTGAGGTGCCAGCGTGCTGATGATTGAAAACTCTTGCTCTGTATATGATCCCTGGAATGTCTTATAATAATTTTACAGTATTGAACGAATTGTTATGACGAAAAGCGCACGTCTCTGTAAAATTCAACACGATGCGATGATCAAGCCAAGTAAAACAATGGGACTTCGAGTTGATTTTGGTGGGTGATTCCCAGACGGTGGGATTTTGACTGGGATGCTCTTTGTTAGGGTGCTTTTCACCTGAACACGCCACAAAATGCGCGTGCAGATGAAGTTGCCGGAGAGATTTTTGCCACAGAAATGAGCTCAACACTGCCCTCATCCGAGGCGGCTTCTTTCTGGCCGGCGTGAGAAATTCCGCGGTGGCTCATCCCAACACTTGTACTGTTTACGCATAAATAATACGGACCGGTGGCTTGTGATGATCCCAGATAAGGGCCTGGCGGAACCCTTTTTTGTGTGACCGGGCATCAGGAAGAGCAAGGCCCAGATTTCCAGGTGCAGCTGCGGCGCGGATTTTGTCACAGCTGCGACACACACGGCATAATTGATTAAACCAACTTGACCGAATAAATATCTGCATCAATTAGGCTCAATTATCAAGCCAAGACATGGGAAGACGAATGCCATCGTGGAGGAGACTATTGCACGAACTCCTGGACAGCAACTCGGTGCTAATTGATCCCACAGTTGATCCTCGTGTTTGATGTTGGTAAGCGAAATCTCCCGTGTACATGTTTTTCAACATCAACTTCCAATCGGTAATGATTCGCGTTGCAACCAAAAGGCCTCCCAATTAGGGATGTTTCTTCCCTCTGGTGGGTCAGACCGTCAGAGACACAGGATGCGTTACTCTTGTTTCACCGCCAGCAAGAAGCACCGAAATCCGCGGGCCCAGATGTCTCGGTTTGATTTGGCGTGAGTTCGGCGGAGGTGATTTTTATCCGAAAATCTGACGCTCCCAGTCAGGGAAACGTAATATCTCGGGTCAGAAAATGAGAAACCTTGCTCCTCTCGCAATCCCCAGGAAGCTCTTCTCGGAAAAAGTGGAGTGTATGAAACAGACACGTTCCATGCTTGCCGACCTCGCCTCGGCTTAAGGTCCGCCGTGGCAAGGATTACGGTCCGTTTAATTCCTCCACTGGCTCATGTTCCTCGATTGTCAGAATGGGTTGCAGATCATCCCGTCATTTTCCAAAACCCATGTTCCCGGGTACGCGGGACCCCAGCAAACTTTTTGAAAGCGCTTTCTACAGTTGCTTCAGACACGACGACTGGACCATTGCCACTAGGAATAACACGGCTTCTCTCTAGACTGGCAATTTCCATGGAAGTTTTCGGGACTAGAAAATAAAATAAAAATTCTGCGGACCGGCAAATTTTATAAAATTTTGGCACACTCAAAAGATGTAAGTTCAAAAGACAAGTCGCTGCTTTTTTTTAAAATTAAATTAAGAACCAATGAAGCAGTTATAGTGGAATGTCTTCAAAAATAAAAAATACAACATTTGCAGAGTGGAAGCAGGAGATTTTTTCAGCGAAACAAGAGGAAATGCCACCGGGAAAGAGGGTTTAAAAAAAAACCAGTCTGCTATTTCGGGAACCCTCCAACGCGTTCATGAAAAGAACGCAACAATGGGAAAATTTCCGGCAACTGTAGAGCATTCTCAGTGGGGTAACTAGGCGACGAAAACAGCAGTTAAACAGGATCAGTCGGGTAACAGAATCAGAAACCTCTTCGAAGTACAGTATTCGAGATTATATGGGGCAAGATGAATTGGGCCTGAGTATTGAACCACTCGATTTTTTCGAAGACACTCCCACGCGAGCTTGATAACTTATCCCCAATTTTAAAATACTCTGAAAACTCAAAAAATAATCTATCCTTGAGCAGACGAGGTGTGTCCAAAACACGCAAATTAGTGATACATAATCAGAAGTGTCTGCTCGAGATCATTTTACCGCGCAGTTGAGCGGAAATGGGAAATGAAGGAAAGGGTTTCTGATTATCGAACCAGTCGACTATTTCGAGGACTCTCCCACGCGGTCATGAAAACGACACAGCAATCGGAAGCGCGGGGCCCCCGAAAGTCGGCGTACTTGACGCAAGCACGTGCTGAATAATGCAGTTATCAGTGCCTGATTACATCGCGGATTTATTCCTAGTAGTCAGTTAGCCGCGCGGGGAAGAATATAATGCGAGGGATTAGATCGCGGGCTGGAAATTAATCGAGAGAACACGTTTTCGGGGTTCATCAAGCCGGACAGTGGATACCGGGTCGCACGCCGGCGATTTCTCCGCGCGCCCGCGTCCGTGACAGTGCGGAAGGAACCCCTTCCGCCCCGCAAATCAAAGCCGGACACGAGCTGAACGCCAGCCAGCGTTCGACTCACGCGATGGCAATCGGCACAATAATTCTTCCCTGACCCCCGGGCCCAGAGGGGTGGCTTCAATGGAGAAGGGTTCGTCAAATGCTCACGGAATCAGACAACCATGAGTCGCAACCGTGCCGGTCGACTTGTTCCAGCGCATTTCATCTCCTCGACTGCGTTCGGCCGAAAAAGGCCAGAGGATGAAAAGCGCCACGTGGCCGCTGCCAACGGGGCCAGCGAAAATACGTCCCAGTGGTCGCTGGAAACACCAGCCTTTAATTACGACTTCGGGTTCAATGGCGCCTAATTGGTCCCGGACCGCCCGAGCACAACGGGTGACACAAAACGCGTAGGTGATAATTCATCAGCGTTGCCGGAAAGCGCCCACGCGCAAATTGGATCAGCGAATTCCGACTCTGGCTAGGTTTCTCGTTTTATTTTCATATTTTTCCTCTCTCGATGGTCGAGCTTGAGTTTCGGCAGCTGTGCGACGGATTCAGCCGCCCGATGTTGCCACCGGATGGATTCATCAGGCTCCAACAAGGCACCTGATTTCCTAATGAGCGTCGCGTGTCATCCCGCCATTCAAATGCGTCTCGATTGTTTCACGGTCCGTTTGATGCCCGGGAGCCAGAAAATTCATTCCGCTTTCCGCCCAGCACCAAGTATTTTTTTTATGACATACCCCACCTGGGTATGATTGCAATGAGCTTTCATTCGAGCAGAGAGAAGCAAAAAAAAGATATGCCTTTGAATGGGGAGGGGGGAGCGGGTTACAACAATGAACCGCAAAGTTCCGCGGAGATCTCGGGGGAGCTGACGTCAGTCGACGCTGTCGGACGGAACGGGTTGACACACAAGGAATCGTGACGCGGGTTGACGAGGAGATTTTTGACAACTGCGACGACGCACATTGATGACAAAGAGCAAAACCTCGGGTTACGACTGGCTCTCACCCCCTTCAGCTCCTTCCCACCTATTCTTCTTCCTCGTCAGACCATGAAGAGAGAAGATAATCGCCGAGAGGCAACACGATCCGCCGTCACGAGCGTGACAAACAAATTTCTCTTCTTTTTCGCGTATTTTATTGCCGAGCGTTTCCTCATTTTTTCTTTTCGTCCCGTTCGAAAAGAGATGCAACTGATGACGAAGAGAAACAAAGCGAGAAATGAGCTAACCCGATATCCCGCAAAATCTTGCCTGGGAAGACCCACCACCTTGTTCACACCGATGTTGACATCAATCGCTGCAGGGCATCAAAGCGAACGTCGAACATCAAAACGTTGAAAACACGTACTCCCACGGTCGACATAAAAACAATTCCCGGCAATCCAACGATTTTTTCTTCCTCCTCAGTATTTTTTTGGGTGCTTTCCTTAGTCTTTTTTGCTTCTATAGGATCACAAAAAATAAAGTACGCGTTTGTTCCTTGATCTCGGGAATTTTTTTTCTCTTCCTCGTCGTAACACCCAGCATGCACCACGCCACTTTCCCACATACACGACATGCGATTTGAATCAGTAGACATACAAATATCAATCGAAACAGTCAGTCTAATCGAAAAAATGCCCTAAAAATATTCAGAAACTTGTTCAAAGGTGGACTCTCCCTTCAACAAGATACAGTACAGTACTAGAAAGACCGACAAATGCTTCAAGATAAATTCGTTGCAATCGAACTGCTTTTGCACACATAGAAGGTCTACCAGGACCATACGAATTTTTTTCTCCAGAATATCGCTTTAAACGGAATGATTGTTGAGAAGCAAACTATATTTTCAGTGATCGTTTAATGATAATGTTCCACAAATCTCATGTATCCATCTTCCTGATGTTTTTCATGTTAATGTACAAGAACTGCTCGTAACAAGGAGTGTTTTAATCTAACATTTGCTAGCGCATACCGTAAATGAACTTATATAGTACTCTAACACGCCGATCAACAATTTCAATCAGATAGACCAGCATATATGGCACAATTTGACGCTTCTACCATTTCATGAAAGAACAATTCATTGTTCTGTCGGCACTCCGGGTTGTCATGAAGCAATTTTGACACATGATCCTCACTGGAATTCGAAGTTTCGTATCGCGACATACGTGGGAATTCGTGATTTGACAAATTTTCCCATTGGTTAACGCTGAAAATTGCTATCCGCACACTGAAAAAATGAGTATACCATTGAGAATGCTTGAATAACTTCAAGAGAGCTCTTGCGATTCGAACTTGGCCAAGCTTGGCGCATTCTAATTTTGTCCAAAATAATTCCTGAATGCTGGCACATAATTGATGAGGAGAGTTTAAAAATGTATCCGGGCACAACACGCATTTGGAAAAAGAAAGAAGCAGATGAACATCATACGCGCATACGGATACATTTTTGGTTTTTTATCGCCATCATCCTTTGGCAAGATTTTTCTGACTGGAATCGTTGAGCTCTTCTTAAAAGAGGACTCGTTTTATTTGCGTGAAAGCTGAAACAGATGAATACTGTACACGAAAACCAATATACAATCGGGATTTTTTTAAAAGGAGAAAGGAAGATAAATCTCTGAGTTCGTTATTTTCATCGACTTCAACGGGGGAGGAAGGGGAACGTGAAGAGAGAAAGAGATTTCGGCGCCGCTCACGCTTCCCTGCTTACATTTTCTGAAGGGGAAAGCCCCTGGAATGGCGTTGAGGCGTGGTGCAAGTTGAAGCAGAATAAAGACTGCTTCTGGAGGTGAGAAAAAATTGTAGCAGTGAGGAAAAATGGGCGGAGGCATCGAGGACGAAATTCAGACGGGTGCAGCGAAGAGAATGGAAATCGAAGGAGATCCGTGTGTGGGTATGTGTGTGTGTGTATGTGTGTGGGCACAGCAGAGCCGTGTACGTGAGGCCCATGAGGGTTGTATGATATACGAGGGAAAACCTGCTCGCAGCATATACTTCTACGGGTTCGACATGGCGTCTGTCGAAGCCGGTGGCGAGCCTGTTTATCGTTCCTTTGCATAAGCAAGGACAAGCATGTATTGTCCGTTGAGATGCCGACGGATCGCATCTGATCAGCAAGCGGAGCTGTTTGATATTTCCGCGACATTTATTCCTTCTTTCCCGTCGGGAGAAATTTACGGTCCGGAAGCCGCGATTAAATATTGAAGCGGATCCATGGCAGGGCGCAAAATTCCCGTCGCGTGACTGCGGCGACTTGGTCGCTGACGGTTGCCAGGAAGATTGACTGCGAAAACGAACCCGTGGCCTGATCATGCCTGTTCCCCGAGGAGGCCTCGTCACGCACGCCAAGACAAAACTCTTCCTTCCACACCGACGATGATGTCACGCGTGTGAGCCGGGTCTCGACAGCACCGGCCTGCCTATCAAACCCGGATCTCGCCCGACCTCGCCCATCTGATTCCCCCCCCCCCCCTGCGTCGGAAATGCCGGAAGCATTCCTCAACCCCTCCAATATCGCGTGGACAAACCCAATTGAACAGAAAATATACGTATCGGGATGATAAAATCATCCGTGCTTCAAGACGCCACGACTCATTCCAGTTTTCTCGAATCGCCCGTCATACCAGTGTACAGTATTTTTTTCTCCTGCCAGTAACCTCCCTCATCGTCAAGATCTAAACCCGGAATTTCTTTTCTGGAACTCGTGGTCGCTCTTCTTCATCCACTCTGACGTTCCCGCTTTCAACAATTTACTCGAACCTTCGTATAGATAAAGTAATGTATATGCCATGGCGAGGAACTCACATGCTACCCACGAGGTGATGAGGAACTGTGGACTGCACCTCGAATTAAAAAGAGTTTCCTACTTGATTTTCCTCGACTGCCGACGATCTTATGATCAGTTCTGTATTTGAATGGAACTAAAATTGTCTCTATGGTGAAATAATATGCAATATGCCTTGCTAAGGTTTATCAAACTGAAAATAATGTCACAGCGAGATATGAAACCCTTGCGGTAAGCATTTCGATCCAACTCAATAAAATAATCTTGTTTTCACCAGAATTTCCTTTAAAAATAATTAAGAAGCATCTGAAATTTATATTATTAATTTTAAAGGCAGCTTAAATCGAGTACCGCCCTCGATTTTCACGTCCAATGATTGCTTCCAATCGACTGAGACTTCTGGACAAAAATAGTCTTAAATCAAGAACGTCTCACTGAAATATACGGAAGAGTAATGTACAGAGTATGTTGCAATAGCAATGCCGCCATGATAGTTTGAAAGAAATAAAGCGTCTTGATCTTCCCTCGGAATATACCAACAGTCACGTTCGAAGCTTTCCGGGAGGATGACACAGAAAATACGGCAGAAAGTAAAGCTTTTACGACACAGATCTGGCAGATGTGGCTCCAGATGAGCTCTCAACAGAATCGTCTATTTAATGTGAAAATAAGTAAGAAGGCATTTCGGATTTGCCTGCAATATTCCTCTCAATTTAGACGCACGCAAAATGAGAATGCGGGAATTCGACAACACGTTCGCAGGATAGTGTTCGAATTCTTGTGGTCCGCGGACTTGGGTGACGACGAGTATTTTTTTCAATTTCTTTGATACCAATGAATTTAAAAGAGGACAATCGAAGGATAACTCGTCGAGGTAAAAACAAGCCCACGTCAGATTGCGTGGAGACCGAGTAAGAACTCACCTTTTCTTGTTGCTGCATGTGCTTGATGAGAATGGACTTCTTTTTGTCCTTGCATCGCTTGTTCTGGAACCATACTCGTATCACGCTGGAATGAAAAAAGAGCCCCAATCGGGAGTTAGTCGCAGCGAGAGGCCCAATTAGCTGGAAATCCACGTGTCCAGGAGCACGGGAGTGGGGCCAAGTGGGAAAAGGCCGCCAAGTAATCTGTTGGCACGATCAGGAAGCCGGTGGGCGGCGCAGTGTTATTCACGGTTCCTGAATTTAGCATCTATGTCCTAGTCTCGCCAACACGACGGCGTCGTCGTTGCAGGTAATTTATTAGTTCGAGATATCTCGGGGATTTGTAAACCCAGGGATTTTGGACTACATCACAGTCATATCCCAGTTACTTTCTTTCTATGCACGAGTCCGGAACACGAGTTAACAGATACAGTATACTGTATTTCAATTGCAGGCGAGTCCAGAGCTTTCAAGTTCCTGACTGGAGATAAATTCGAGGTCCGAAGACTCCGAACTCACTTCTCTTTTCGACTTCAAGATTATTTGAAATTTGATTTAAGATGTCGGCGAAGTCACATCACGCTAAAAGAGGTTACAGTTATTCCGCGAAGTACGTAAGCAAACAATAAATACATAAATGGTTCAAAATTATAAATTCCAGTGGACCCGCTGGGTTTAGATAATCAAATTACAACCCCTGCTTATGGCAGATTTTCTCCATCGGAAATTTATTCTGAAAATGGGTTAAAACCAACAAAGAACATCATGAAACTTGAAACAGAAGNACAAAGAACATCATGAAACTTGAAACAGAAGCTTGTAGAGGGAAAGAAGCATTTTGTATTATGGGAAACATACAAGAATCGCAGGAAATTGTAAATGGTGACATTCTGGTCCTTAAATTTCTCCTTAAATTAGTTGACAGAATGCTGAACTTGGAGTCATGGGTTTAATTTGCCCAATTAGTCTTTCACTTACTTTCAAAATACATCAAGTTACTTTTCTCTTTGCAATGTCAAGAAAATGGTAGCCAAAAGGCTCAGAAAATTTGAGCTACCGAGGTTACAGAGAAAAAGTTCTCGAGTTGAGAAGGTTTTTGAAGCATTGTTTTCAAGAGGATTTTAACAGGGACTAAACAAATTGAACTAAAGGGGGTTCGTCTTATCAAGGTTCAACTGCATAGCAATTTTAATGTACTGCGTGATTCGCGTGCTAATTTGTCTCATGACAAACCCTGACGCCGACAAATCGGAGAGTAAGAACTCCGTACGTCGTGCTTAAGGGGACCGAGGGTGGAAGATTTACGAAATACTGTATCGTGCAGGCGGCTATTCGTAGGAAAAGAAATTCAATTCAACGCGTTTCCGCGCAGTGCTTCCCTCCTCAACGGCGTCATTGTAGCGGGTAATTTATTACCGAGGGTCGGGGATACCAGAAGAAACAGCTTACCGTGGGCTCAGCCCGGTCATTTCCACCAGTTGCTCCTTCATCAGCGCGTCCGGACGGGGATTCGCGTTGTAGCACGTCCTCAGCGTGTGTAATTGCTTCTCGTTGAGTACCGTCCGGACCCGCGTGGTCTTCCCTTCCGAGGACTTCAGCTTCCCGCGCTCGTTCCCTGAACTCTCCTTCGACCGGACGGACGTTTGCTCATCTGCAATCGCATCCACGAAACCGCACCCCAGTCAGTTGGATAATTCATTCAGCTGCTGTACTTGAATTGTCTTTACAAAACTAAGAAGAGAAGCGAGAGACATAATCTCCGAGCGTTTTCTTTCCAGTGCGCTGATGACTGCACCCGGTGTCGGACACACCGTTTTCCTTCGGGCACCACTCGCACCTTATTTTTTCATTTTAAAATTTGCAGGAAAAGCAACGGGTGTGTGTCGTACACGACTAAAATGAGTAATGTACCAAGTACTTCATACAGTAACCCGAGTATACCCTGTGAATAAAAAGAATCTAATTTCCCCGATTATATTATCAAAGAGCAAGGTAGACCTATTTACACATGGGCGCGTTTTATGCGGGATCTCTGGAATTGTACACGAGTAAATGCGGATTGCGGAGAACCTGCTTGATTATGCGCAATTTCAAGGGAAAGAATCTCTGGCTGAATTAGAGAATAAGAGAAAGCTCCGCTGCAGTCAAGCCGGAATTTTTCAAGCGAAAGGAATACCACGTAAAACTGAATGCCGAGCTGACTTTCAACTCAAATTTACTGCATAGCTTTACAACCCTTTTCTGGATTGAAACTGACGACATAACCATGTTTTCGTATGGTAGCTGCGCTCCAAGAATTTCCATGAAAATCAATACAAATCGAGGACAAAAACCAAAACCTTCTTCAGACTGTAATTTCCATGTACTGTACAGTAAAATCTCGTCACGAATAAGCGTTTTGGACCACAAACAAGCTTCGTACTGAACGAAAATTCGTTGAGACGGGATTTAAATAATATTGCGGCTATTGGACGGAGACCAGAAAATAATTCGTAGTAAGAATTAATTCGTTATGATGTGATTCGTTGTAACGAGATTCTACTGTAGTTCACACATTCCAGTTAAACATCTAAGTTATTGGGCAAATTGTTTTCCCCTTGACGACCTAAACTTCAGTCAATACTGATTTAAAAATAAGCCTTTACCTTAACATCTTACAAACCAGCTGCTCGAGTCCACGAACCACCATACTGTACAATACTGTAATTGGAAAATTCCGCACTATTTCATCAATGCAGCGAATATTTTGGCCCGAACAGAACAGTATTGTTCTAGACATCGTCACCCATTATTTGCATCTGTTACATGCGGTAATCTGGGTTAGCCTTGCTTGGGAGTAAATGAAAAAAGTATCGATGGTTTATAAACAGTTGTTGTAAATGTCAAGTGGTACTCTTCGCATGCGTACTTTCTTCCCACGGTGGAACGTTCGGGTAGGACTCGAAAAACAAGAGAGAAAAAAGTAGCATTCTGTAATCCATTGAAACTCTTTATGATTTCACGTTTCAAAACGCGCTTAGAACCATGTCACGCGATCAGTCACGCATAATTGGACCATCACATCAGCGGCCGAAACCACGAAAAATTTTCCGAGCAGGAAAATGTGTAAGCAGCTCCGCGTTTCTTGTCGCAGGAAAAGAATAATCTTAGACTCAAATAGTTTTCCATAAATGATGGAAATAAAATGAGTGAGGAAACGGGACAGTTAAAATACGAGTAAGTACGTGGTTACATGCAGTTCCGCGTACTATAAAGCAAGCCTGACGGGCGATTGCGACAACCCTCGGTCGAAAAACATTACCATTCCGCTCATTACCATATTCCAGTGTGCGGAATGCTGCCAGCGTTAAACATAAGACGAAGGCGTGTGGAACCTCTACCAAGCCAATCGAATTACCAAGCAGATACCATCTTACAACGAAGGATCCAACACGATCTCGACACTGCGGCCAGGTGCTAATCGTGCGAGATCCGCTCACCCACAAGAACAAGCCACACGACAATGACTCTAATGACCAATCAAACTTCACGATCCATATCCGATTAGGTTACCCAGCGCTTGAAACATCTGTCAGCACCAGCTTGATCGACTAATTTAGGAAATCATCCTTGGGATCGAATTGCGTGGAACGGAAGCCAGGTAGACTATCGAATGCTCAACATAGCAGCCGGCTGAAGGAATATATCTGGTCATCTTGGTCGAAAATCGAATCCCCGATGAGGAAATTATACTTTCAAATGTCTTCATCACCAATGCATTGGCACAGCGGAGGTTCTGGGTCGCAAGCACTTTCTCACGCTCACTTTTGTGGCTTGAAATGTCTCATAAAAAGTCTGTTACTGTCGGCGCAAGAAGAATTATGGAACGGCCGGGGGATTCTTTACAAGCGCTGCGGTCAGTACGTCGGGTACCGCGGCTGTCATATCCCATCCCCGCCGCGGATCCCAATATTGAGGATTTACAAGGATGTAGCTATGATCGTCAGGGAAATTCGAGACAAGGCTCCGGTGAACATGCGGGTCTGGCGGAAGCGGAAAAGAAAACTGAATGTCTGCGGAGACGCATCCTCGGGTCTTTGTGACACATGAGCGCATTCCGCGAACGTCGAGCCTGCATGGCTCGACGCCGAAGGCAGTGTACAAATGCCGAAGCGGAAACACGCGTCGGCCTTCCCTTGGAAATCGAACATGACCTTCGCAATGCAGAAGTTCCGCACGCTTTCATCAACGCAATCTGCGCTTCGCGGAGCCCTAAGGTTGAGTTTCCGGGGGCTCCGCGGATTCTCAGGAGGAGAAGGGGATTAAGAGAATAAGAGAATGAACGAGGAGAATCCAGCACTGTTCTCAAGAACAGCACGCAAACGAAGTGCAGAACTGCAATTCAATATGTGTAACTAAGGATGAAGATATTACATAAAAGGCGTCCAAGAAGCTCAACTACATAAATTGATTCAAAAAGGGCTTGTGATTGAGCCATCTCAATAAAAAGGGCTAACTGACATGAGGCTCATGACGAAAATGAAGATCGAGAGAGGGGAAAACCAGACAAATCCACCATCACAGTTCCTGGCGTCTTATTTGTCAATTCGAGTACAGTATTATTTAAATTTTGAACAAGCAAATGTAGGCCCGGATAAAACAATTTGCCGAAAGAATTAAATTGATGCATTCGTTCGTGCGTGTGCTCTTCGCACGAATTCGTCTGAAATTTCCGATTTTTAGGTTGTTGCAGGCATGTGCCATACGTTCAATTGGCTGACCAAAACAGTTCGCTGCGCATAAATATGCAAGTTATGGCATGATACAATCGTTTCAATGCAACCTACTGTACTTTAAATTTATCGTAATTTGAAGTGCGTTCGATTACGAAGGTGCATAGAATACTTCCATCCGGAAAAGGACGAAAAATTGTCAAGATTACGATCATTCCCGTAGAAGTTGCGTCAAGGTTATCAGTTGATGGATGCATTTCGAGAATAAAAACACATAAAGTAAGGGCTTCTGGATGATCAACAGATAAGCTTGAATGAGGGGCGATATAAGACGTACTGAGGCGGGAAATTGCGTAGGTGTTTCGTTGGAGATCCAAACGACGAGCGTCAGTTGTTCGAAGGTTACTTAATAACTCATCGAAGTTGGCCGTGAAAATCCGGGATACCCGTTGACCCAGATTTTCTCTTCAATCACGCAGACAGCTGTGAGGGCTGTTTTTTTTTTTTTGGGTGGCAGTGGCTCGCAGACGGCGTCGACAGCGGAGGGGAGAACGAGCGACACTCGGGCTTCGGCGGAGAACACGCCGCGGTTCTGCACGACGCCCAACTGGCGGACATAAATTCTTGGACCTGTCGTCGGGCTGGTCTCACTGGCGTCACTCGCACGACTCCGCGAGGGGGCCTCGGTAAGTTTCGAAACTGATGAAATCCTCTACGCTTTCACAATTTCGTGCATTCGTAAGTCTTGAAGCCGGTTCTTCAAGAGCTAAGTATAGGTATACAGTATACTGTATTTTTAATTATCAAGATATGTTTTACTACTCAAGTGAAGTCTGATTTCACATTTGTGGAGGCTCGGGAATGTGGCTGAGCGCTGCATCCGGAGGAATCACGCTTTTGATGAGTGAGTATCACAAATTGGCAAAGCTCACCAATAAAGCTGAGTATCCACTACGACCAGGCCTGGGAGTAAAGCAGGCACCGTAGTTTTACCGAGAAAATCCTCTTCAACGCTTTCGTGATTTCCGCTCAATCATGACTGAATACCAATTTTGGTCATGTCACATTATTGAAACGCGGTAAGCTTGGTAATCGAGTACAGTATAAGGAAAGGCAAACTTTTTTTAATCTCTGAAGATAGGGTAGCTCTTATTGTTGTACTGTATAACGATTTATTTTCGTCTTCAGTCAAAAAAGGGAAGGGTCGGAATTAAAGGTAAGGAAAAATGTTTTGTGCAGTCTGCGACCGAACAGGGAAAACGAACTTACAGTATTGAGAGGATTGAGAGTTTAAAAATTTTGTTTCTACCAGAATAATTATTATTATGGAAAGAAAGGTTAGTTTTATGAACCCAACATTTCAAGAAATAGGTCAGGGCTTATTATTGTGAGTATGGCTCATACAATGGCGGTGCTTGAAAATATGACTCCGGTTTATTGACCAAAATATCAGTTTCGACCCCAGGTATTTCGGAAAGCTTTCTCTTCAATCGTCAATGTGCATGACAGCTCGCCGAAGTGCGGTTATATTTTTCTTGCTCATGAACTTTGTTAACGAAAACTTAAGGCTGAATATGACCCCTACTGTATCTCTTATCCTCAGAGAAATATGTCATCGATCAGACTTCGTTCGTTTGCTTAAGTAAGCCCCAACCTAGCAGAGGATATATTTTGCATGAACTTGTGGGCGTCTCTTTTTCGCCAGACCCCTTGGGCTCTTTGGGAAAGACCGCTATTCAACCGCCCAGCATCTTCCCACGTTGCATCCCAGCATTCTCGTCAGCGGAACGATTGATTCACTGGTCTACCACTTCTTCGAACGTTTACCGCTCCGAACAACAACTTCCGGGTGACCCTGCAGTTTCAGCAACTTCGAACACCATTGCATAAGCCGAACCTCGCGTAAAGTACTTTCCGATACCGCGACCTAATTGGGTAC